GGCCGAGATTCATAATTCCCAGTGAAATTAAACGCCCCGGATCTCAGGAGGTCGGTCTGAGAGCGGTCTCATGCTCTTACGGGAATTATCTCCATTTCTAATCACAATAATCAATTAACATGATCATATTTAACTGACATTTGCTGCGTCTGTCTTTTACAAATGGTTTAAACAGCAGTATAGTATTATCACTATAAACCCTAATGATCATGTGTGTGTAAACCAGTGGTTGATTTAATAATTCAGACCTGAATATAATTAGAGAATTATTATTAAATGAGCGTCTCTCGCTGTCACAGGCGGTTTGAGTCGTCCAGTACAACATCAACACTGAGGAGCTCTACGGCATCCTGAAGGAGTTTGTTCACCTGCTGTACTTCCGGTAGCAGAGACGCTTCTATGCTCCGTTTCAGAGCGGTTTGTGTTTGCTCATCGCAGCTGAACGCATGATGCTGTTCCTCCTTCAGGCATCTGCTGGTGAATCCTCGAGACCGGCGCGTGGTGATCGTTGAATCCATCCTCTGTCCTTCACACTTCAGAGAGACGCTCTCCAGAGTCTTCTTTAAGCACTTTGAGGTGAAGTCATGCTGCGTCTGTGTCCTCGTATCTCAGCGGTTTATTATATGATCATACTCCATCCAAAGCAGTTTCACAGCAAATAACAAAGAAGATGAAAGAGGCCTAATTAACTAATAGAAGGCATTTAAACGAGAACGAGAGCTGATAAAAACATCACAAGTAATCCACAGCACTCCAGTCCATCAGTTAACATCTGGAGAAGACACAAGCTGAAACAAATCCAGCATTTTAACTGAAATACGAGTCCATAATCCATAATAACGCTTCCTCCAGTGAAAAAGTGCATCTGCTGTTGTCTCTCACATCAAAATCCAGCCACATGTTTAAACGCTGCTTGATCTGTGCAGATTTCTCTCCTGATTCACACCAGAACACTTTTTCACTGGAGGAAGAGTTATTATGGATTATGGACTCAATGTATTTTAGTTAAAAACGTCGTAATGCTGGATTTGCTTCAGCTTTTGTCTTCTCCAGATGTTAACTGATGCAAGGTTATTATTATAGTTTTGAATTTTTAAATTCGTTTTATTTTAATACCATTTTCAAATTTGCTATAAAATTCAGTTGAGTTTTTATTAGTTTCATTCATATTTTTGTTAGTTTTTATTTTGTGAACACATTTTTATATAGTTTAGTTTCAGTTTTAATTAAAAGTTTAGCAGAATTAACAGATCACTTCCAGAGCGCAGGCCAAAGAAAGACGTATGCATAATTTAACCTAAAACATATAGCGGCACAAAATTAACGCATGCTGAGATTGATTAGATAGTAAAAGTATACAAATATATACGACAAAGAAAGCAGGCAAGCCTTTTTACTAAATTAATCTACACAAGTCGCGCTTAATGTCATATCCAATGATGTGTGTTGAGATATTTAGTATGAA